CGGACCTCCCTAGGAGGGGTTAGTAAACAGAAGTGATTGCGATGAAAGATGCCTTCTTGACATACGGTGGAGCAATCTCGGACGCATACTGCAGGAGTCGTCAGCCTTGTTTCAGACATTCACGTGGATCTGGATTGACTCACAATTGGCACGATCATAGAGACACTGCCGACACCCCAACCAGTGATGAAGCGACCGGCAAGGGTGGCACTAGGACCAGCACCAGAGATAGCGATGGTCTGCACGCAGACACCAACAATGAAGATGCCCGTGGCAAAGATGATACCGATCTTGCGAGAGAGGTACTCGGCAATGAAGCTGGACGAGAGCGCGCCAACCCAGGCGCCGAGCTCGAGGATGGCCGTGAGCCAGCCCTTCTTGGTCTGGTCGGCGTTGTCGTCAAAGGGGTTGTACTCGCCCATGTCTACCGGCACGTGAACCATCAGTATTGCTATTTACGTTGAGATACGCAGACCGGCGGATTCCACTTACGCTCCTTGAAAGAGGGCATGGCGAGGAGACCAGAGAACATTCTACGACGGTGTCAGCCACTGGTACAGGCAGTACATCAACCTCGTCTCGCAAGCTTACCCCTGGTTGTAACCATATAGCACACCACCGATACAAGCGAACATGGTGATCCGGAAGACCTTCCAGTTCTTGAACAGCGCGGCAGGTCCACTTGCGCCCATCATGGCCTGGCGGCGATGAAGGGCGGCATCGTACATGGACGCGCCGGCACCGGCTGCTCCGCCCATCTTGTCTGTCTGTTATCGAAGTCGTCGGTCTGGGTATTCTCGTTGTCGTCGTTTGGATCTTGTCGGAAAACGGAGCTCTTGGCTGTCTGGCGAGCAATGTGTGCAGATCAGAAAGCAAGACCCGATGCCAAGGGTGGGCGGGCACGAGCTTATTGATATCCAAGCATATTGGGGTGCGGCAGCGGCGTTGCCAAGCAGCGAGCTCCGTGCTGGACCCCTGTCTGCCGCACGCCACGGCCTTGGGAGCTCTGACCTGGTCACTTTCCCCAGGGACCATGCTGCCCTTTCCCCGGATTTCAGATTCAGGCGGCGCCTCGGCCAGTTATGATTCTCCCGGGCCAATCAGCCGCTAGTGTCAGCAGCCATCGTGAGCTAAAACGAAAGACACGGAGGTGGCGCGACACCATTTCTCCCACTGTCTACGCCCAAGCGCATAATGGCAGATGCCTATTACCCGCCGGCAGGGTCGCAGGCTATTAACCGGCGAGCCTGGAGCAGAGGAAAGCCTATTCGTCACGTCTGCGAGAACACGGAGAGCATGAGAGTGGTCGGGAATAAGCTGTGGTGCAACGTCGAGGAGTCGTCATGCCGGCAGTCCTCCAATCGGGTGGTGCCGTTGCTTTAGGCTAAAGTCGTGGCCAGCGGTCAGGAGAGAGTGAGATGGTGATCAGCACATGACCCGTGCAGGCAGCCAGGTGAGGAAGACCGGGGTGCTTTGGGGGAATTCGGCACTTCTTCGCCCGACTTTGAGTTTCAGAATTTGCATGCTGCTTTGAATCAGCTTCGTGCTGTCAATATCGGAGCTCGAGGGCAGGCTCGAATTCTCAATGTGAGCCGCCGTGGTGAGTTTGTCTTGTTCACCGCATCGTCGTAGTTGAGTAAATCTGAGGCCACCAGATCTCTGCCATTCCTATGATAGTCGTAGGGCAATATGTGGCTCATGTTAAGACCCGAGCTGTGCCGCTCGAATGACATTCTGCATCTCTGCCACAAAGAAACGCCACGAGAAATATTCCGATGCCCCATGCGTATTGTATCCACTTGCAATAGATGAGAGACACCTAAGTCAATCGCTTTCATCCGGTTCCCCACCAACGTTATCTCCGTCGCCGAGTGTCCTTCATCCAAGCTGCAATGCCAATGCGACTGTCGACGAAAGTGTCTGAAGACCACGTGGGCAACCAGGCGTGCATTCAGGCGATCGAGAGGGGCTGATCTAGCGATCCCCGATATTTCCAGATTCGGCATCCAACTCTCAGATGGGTCTCCTCCAATCCGGTCGCGGGGCCTGTATCGATGCGATACATGCCTTGGATGATATTAGCCAGCCTCGCGCTCGGTGCCGACAACCATATTTATCAGACTTCTTCCCGTCACCACTCGGCTCCCTCTTGCCACCGCTTCCCGATATGTGCCCCGCTTCCACCTTGTTCGAGTTTGAGGTGGCACAAAGCCCACTTTGTACGAGCATGGGTGGCTTATTGGGTGTCTCGTTTGGCTTCCAGGCAAGCCACTCTCGCCCACCCGCCATATCCGAGATGTGGCAATATCGTTCAGATGGCACAGCTTAGCTAGGGCCTGTAATGAGGGTGGGATGACGCTGGTGATAATTTAGGGTTGCGCTTACGGTCAACCCTGTTTGTGGGCACCGTGTGCGGATGCAGACCAAAAATAATGCTTACGAACTTGAGCATCTGTATGCTCGTCTGGAGGCCAATTTCTTGGCCAGATGTATGTTGGCCATTGCCTATGTGTCCAGTATCAACAGGGAAGAAGATGCTAAAACAGACAGCACACGCTCGTCCCGTGATCATAATCACCGTGTATCGCCCCGGCACATCGCATCTGTACTGACTCTCCCTGCCAAATCACACATTTCCTCACGGACATGACCATGATGTGCTACACGAAGTTCATACTACGCCTAAGACATTTTCCAGCCCGTCAAAGCACCCGCTCTGATGATGTGGCGTTTGTACTTCTCATAATAATACTTTCTGGCCGATGTTTGTTGTATTCAGACCAGTATCATACGTGTTGAATCAATCAAGTTGACGTCACGAACTAGTGGCGTGGATTCTCAAGAAACACAGAACAATGCGACAATGGCGGGATGTGTTCCAACTTGATTAAATACTACTTGGTCTCCTATGGACGTACTTATGTTAGATTGGTGACGTTGTGTTGCTCCGTCAACAACGTCGTCCCGGGCGCATCCTGGGTGCCCCTCAGTAGCCTGTCAGCACGACGTAACGTTGGCTCCGGCCTGGGCCTGATCCTGCGCGCTTACTCCCGTACCGAGGTAGGTGCCCAGGAGTTATCGTCATCCCTGTCAACAACGCCCATGAGCGTTGCAACGCATCAAAACATCTGTTGAAGAATGTTGTCGCCAGTGCAAGACCGAGGGTTGCCTGGTTACCTCCACCTGCATGCGAAACAAATTCTGTCGGCATGGTCTGGCAGAGGTCACATTCTGCCCGCAAGTACAAATATCACCAGGTCCCGGAATTAAAAAACACATCAATCTCGAGATCCTGATCGAACGAACCAAGCCAAAAATTGTGATCAAGCAAGATGCGAGCTTCACCCGGCAACGTTGTCTCCGGCGCAGCACTGCTCCTCGGCAGTGCTGCTGCCAGCCCTCTGAACGCCATCAGCCCGACACTCACCACTCGCGCCGCGCCCGTCGGCGTCCCGATTTACAGCTGCACAGTGCCGGGAACCATTGCCATTGCCTTTGATGATGGGCCCTACATCCACACGGGCAAGGCCTTGGACATTCTGAAAGAAGCGGGCATGGCGGCCACGTTCTTCGTAAATGGGGCAACTTGGGTACGCTGTCCATCTCGTCCTGCTAAAGCCATTCGTCGAGATCGATACTGACGATCAGACATTTTTCAGTCTCCAATCGAGAGCAATGCCGGAGAGATCCAGCGTATCTTGACTGAAGGGCATCAGCTGGCGTCGCATACGTAGGATCTCCAACCAGGAGAGCGGTTCAAACGACCATGACACTAACCAATAACGTCAATAGCTGGACACACCCTCGTCTCACTGAGCTCACCGCCGCAGCAGCACGGGCTGAGATGGTCACCATGGAGGAAACCCTTTTGCGCATGGTCGGTACGTCTCGAAGCCCCCTGTCCACACCTCTATAGCCCACATCTTGCTCACCTTACCGCAACACACAAAGGAAAATACCCGACATACATGCGCCCGCCCTTCCTCGCCTGGAACGACGAGGTCCTCGCCCTGCTGCGCTCGCTCGGCTACCACATCATCTCGACCGATCTCGACACGAGCGACTGGGCCAACAACACGCCCGAGACGTGGCCGAATGCGGTCGCCAACTTCCGCACCGCGCTCGACGCCGGCGGCTCGATCACGCTGGTGCACGACGTGCACCAGACGACTGTCGAGAACGTGCTGCCTGCGATTATCCAGATCATCAAGGAGAAAGGGCTGAAAGGTCAGTTTAGCTTGACGAACCCCCTCCGTTTCTAATTTCGTACCTCGAAATCGCAGAGATGAGTTGACCTGACACAAACCATTGTAGCCGTCACGGTCGGAGAATGCCTCGGCGACCCGAAGGAGAACTGGTACGCCACGGCTCCACGCAACGGCACGGAGCCGGCGCCCACCCCAACGCCGTCGCCCACGGAGACTCCTGGACCGGGCCCCGGCCCCGTGTACGGCCCCAACGGCTCGTGCGGTGGGACGGAGCTGTACCAGTGCCCGCCGGGCCAGTGCTGCAGCCAGTACAGCTACTGCGGAACCACGGCCGCGTACTGTGCTGCTGGGTGCCAGCCGCTGTTTGGACGGTGCGGCTGAAGTCCTGGGCTGGGGCTTTATGGGTCAGAAGAGAAAGGCTGGAGTTACGTGTACTGGGGGACTCGAAAGAATCCAAGATGCAAGAACACTCCTCTGGCTTTTTTAAATCCTACATCTCGAAGGAGGTGCTCGGATCCTGCTTGACCAACGCAGAAACACAAAACAATAAAAGAAGCTATGCTCGAGCCCTTCGCACTATATCGCTTGCGGAACCCTGATCCGTCCTTCTTGACACGATTACACCGTCCACCATCGGTACGGCCGGTAGCACTCTGGGCTTACTTGCTTGTGGTCTTGGCTGGCACGTATCGGCTTGACCTGCGCCCAAGACTCCCCAGACCATCTTCCTCCCGCCGCCAGCACTATACAGAGCGCAATAGGCGCCCCAGGATACCAAGAAACACGTGATTTGCCTTTATAGCTCAGTGGCAGAGCATTGCACTTGTAGCGAGGATCTCGTTCCGACCTACAGGTGATGCAAAGGTCCGTCGTTCAATCCGGCGTGGAGGCATTTGCTTTTTTGTTTGGTTTTGCGGAACGAGGACTATGTGCACCTTGTGTGCATTGCTTTTTTGTGCTGGCTGAGATAGCGTGCTGTGGGATGAGGCTGAGGTTGTGCAGTGTGTTTAGACAAATTGGAGAACAGGCATATATAGCGTATGTATGACTCGTGGTGCTGTGGATCGTCAACTTGTGGTGTTGCCTGTGGTGTACCTAGCGTTTCGACGAAGAAGAAGAAGAATACAGCTGGCATCCTCGATGGAATGCAAATTCGCCCGGGGGGATTGAAATCTGGCTGTAGTAAAGAATATGGCTACCATGCGGGGATGAGTGAAAGGGTTTGCGCTGGGCTGAAATGCTATAGTCAAGCGTGGAGCTGTGTTTATGTAAAGTTCTTGACGACCTCTGAGCCCTCCAGACTCGAAACTATCACTCTGAGCACGGACAGTTGAATACCAGCATAACTAGCACAGTATCATGATTCATTAGCTACTATGATTAATTGCTACAGAGTCATTGCGTCCTCAAGAAGGCATACATGTTTCCCACAAGGAAACCCTCTTCACGACCAGAGAATCTCTGCGGCCACGGCGATGCCGCGCGCCGTGCGGCCAACCCACTCCTGGGCGACCTTGAAGTCGCCGTCGGCCGCGTACTGCACGCCCTCGGTGATGCCCGGGAAGGTGACGGCGGCATAGCCCGTGTCGAGCCCGGGCGCGGTGACGACGTGCTTGTAGAACTCGCGGTTGGGCAGGCCGCCCTGGGAGATGAAGCCGCGCTGGAAGTCGCGGTAGCGGTGGTTGACGACGGTCTTGAGCGCGTCGTCGTCCCGGTCGACGGCGAGCCGCTCGAGGGCCTTGACGCTGTCGGCGCTGTCCTTGAACTTGGCGATGGCGGCGTCGAGGGCCGACAGGTCGAGCTGGGCGCCCTCGGAGGCGGCGAACTCGGACAGGTCGTCATAGTACGCGCGCAGCTCGACGGCGTAGTTCTGCGTGTCGATGGGCAGGATGTCGTCGCTGGCGAGGTGGTAGGCGACGAGGGCGAGGTACTGGCCCTGCGCGGCGTGGACGCTGAAGCCCGGGTCGCCGAGGGTCGCCATCCAGTGGTACGTGTCGTAGTTGGAGTGGTAGTGCCAGATGGGGTCGTTGGCGCCGCCGGAGCTGCCGACGTCGAACGAGCTGATGCCCCGGTGCAGGAATGGCGTGTAGTCGGACCCGGAGCCCAGCACGTCCACGACGCCGCCCGAGACCGCGTGCCACGCATCATACAGGGACTGGTTGTAGCCGCCGAAGTTGGGGTGCACGACCTTCTTCATCATATTGGTCGCGAGTGTGTGCAGCTCGGGCGTGGTGGCGAGGTTGGGACGCGGGCCGGACACGGCGACGTCGATGTTGAGGTACGCGACCGCCGTCTCGGTGAGCCAGTCGACGTGCTCCTCGACCCATTCTGTCGATCCGATCAGACCCCATTCCTCGGCGTCCCAGGATGCCAGGACGATGTTGCGCTTGGGCTTCCAGCCGCTGGCGCGGAGCTTGTTGATGGCGCGCGTGAACTCGACGAGGACGGCCGAGCCCGAGTTGGGGTCGCCGTTGCCACCCTGTGTCATACGTCAGCGAGGAGTAATTATAGCTCTAGATTTCAATCTTAACTTACCACCATCCAGGTGTCGCGGTGGTTGCCAATCACAATGGTCTCGTCGGGGTTTGTGCCATTGAGGTGGCCGATCACGTTGTGCACAGGGCGGATCTCCTCGCGCGAGACGACATCCAGCGAGAGCTTGATACCGGGGGCAGGGCCGGAGCTGTACGTGGCGTTGAGCCCTCCGGTCCACCTTGTGCGGTTGACCGCTGCAGCAGACTGCCCATGGCCGTCGAGCGCCTTCAGCAGAGGCTCGGCGGCAGCGTACGAGATCGGGATGGACGGGATCTTGGCGATCACGTCCGAGGTATCAGCGCGAGGGGCGTCCTTGTGCGAAGGGTACCCGGGTGTGGTCGGATCGCCGGGAGATGTGGACAGGAACAGGGTCGAGCCCTTCTGGACCGAGTGCGGGCTCCGGGCAGGGCCATCTTATAGTCGCATTAGTCCACATAGGAAACAAGATTGTGATGCTGCTGCTGCCACTCACCTGGGTATGCCTTGTGGCCTTTGGCCACGGTCATATTACCATCGTCACCCGGGTCGGTGAAGATGACGGCGGCAATCGCGCCGTGGTCCTGCGCGTTCTTGACCTTGAGTCCGCGGAACAGGCCGCCGTACTTGATGAGCGCGATCTTGCCCTCGAAGCTGACACCGAGCTCGACGAGCCTCTCGAAGTCGTCGATTGAGCCGCGGCTATAAACATTGTCAGAGAAAAGTCAGGCTTAGTCGCACCATACAACAACACCTACCCAGCATAGATGTACTCGGCGTCGACGCTGCCCGACGGCGAGTAGCCTAGGAACGTCTGCTGCGAGATGAAGTCGTAGCCCGTGGCCTCGTCGTCCTCGAGCACAGGTTCCTTGAGGTTAACCTCCTGCTTCTTGCCGTCGGCGCCCGTGAAGCTCAACGCGGCACTGACGGGGTAGCGGAAGTAGACGTGGTACTCTGCGAGGTGCGAGTCGAAGCCGTTCTCGCTCCAGCGGTCGGCGGTCCACTGCGCGGCCTCCTCGCCGTAGCCGGCCAGCTTGTTCTGGTGGCCGTAGTAGTGCGACCACTCGTCGATGGTGACGTTGTCGAACGAGTTGACGAGCAGCGTCTCGGCGTCGTCGAGGACCGGCGGCCACTGCTCGTTGCGCCGCGAGAGCGCCGGGCGGTGCGTATGCCGGGCGTCGACGTCAAAGTCCCGCTGGCAGGCGGAGACGCCCGCGACGAGGGCCGTCAGGGCCAACAGGTTCTTGACAGGCATGTTGAGCTAAGAGTGTACTCGGGTTCCCCGGATTGTGTGACTGAGGATCTCTGAGACTGCCTACGCGAGAAAGACCAAAGGACGGTGCAGAAGAGAGGGCGGGCACGATCGGCATATTAGTACCCGGGGCCGGGGCGGTCGGTAAGCATCCATCTGCAGGAGCACGACACGACATGACGATGCCGAGCATCCCGTTGCCCAGCCCGCCCAGAGCCTTGGGGCGGACGATAGCGACATAAACGGTCTCGGTCACTCGCTATCGTCGGTGCCTGGTCGGCCCCCGCCCAATTGCCGGTCCCCACGCGTGGCAGAAGCACGTTATCCCGAGCAAGGAAGAGTACGGGAAGGACAGAAAAAAACTCGCATGTCGTCATCCTGCCCAGCGGCACGATGCTCAGCGTGGCAGCTCATTGTTTATTCCAAGGAGCGGGGTACAGCTCAGCGCTGCCAAGCGGCATGCTCACCTGCCTTGTCGGTTCAAGTGCGCCTTGGCGGCTGACGGGGAACCTGACGTCGTGTCAACGGCGGTGGCTATCCAAGATCGGCGGTGCAGGGATTCCCCAATTCTTTGTCCAGCATCGGCTTGACCGACTGATGGGGAGCCGGCACTGCGGGGGACGAGATGGCGGGGCAGGACGACTTTGCGACTGCATTGCTTTCAAATATGTAAGGTGATTTGTCCGTGCAGATGCGGTCTTCTTTGCTGGTCGTGATGGAGGGGTCGACCCTCAACGCTTGGCCCTGGCCGTATCCCCTTTTCCGGCGGCCAAGGTGACGGGATTCCATCCGTACCTCTAATGGCGCTACTCGGCTACGAATCAATCTGACTGAATGAGGGTTGTCCCCAAAATGTTCCTCTCAGCCCAAATGTGAGAATCCAGGGGCCCTGCCCTACAGCTCAGAAGCGTGTGCGTGCCTTCAGGTCCTGAGAGGACTATACTCCAGATTAGTGAGTATCACTGCGATGGCGGTGTCACGGTTCAGCGACGTTTTGCTAGTGGTATGATCTGCAACTAACGTGCGACTGGAGTGTAATGAGGATATGCGTAGCAAAGAATGAGACCGAGCCCCACGTATTCTGGCTTGGCGTAAATGGCGATATGACCAGGTTCCAGAACGCCACGGCGTTAAAAGGTTTGACGAACCATTAGGCCTATATACAGTCTTGCTGGCCAGCCATTGCAGTGGTGTCGGTTGGCTAACTGTATATAGACCTGGCGGGCTTGAAAGGCTGCCCCCTTAATACATGTAGTTGTCCTCGCTTGTCCGTGGTACCTGGAATACCTTGACTTATAAGTGCAGACATACATGCTGCACTGCAGCTTGCGATTCCTGTCCGCTGTCTTTGTTAGAGGTCCGCCCGGTAACAGCCTCACCTCTCGTGAGCTCGTGCATCGATGTTCTTTCTCTTCCATTCCCGGATCTCACCGTGGAATCCAGAGCATGATACTGCCCGAGTGCACTTTCGAACATAACCAGGAAGCTTCTGCAAACAGTTTATACCCCACCCTGATGAGTTCGCAGATCAGGTGTTGAGCTCGGACGATATTCAGGGGCAGAAGCAAAATGTCATCTGACATCGACCGTGGAAGGCTCTCGGACGTCCAGAGCGCTGATGCCTGCTCGTCACCATCAGATAAGCGCGGAGCCGCGTCCAGCCGAGACTTGTGATACGCGGCAGGGCATCCCCGCCTTTCCAACGCCGTCTCACCCCACCACCATCAGACCAGAGTGAACGCTCTTTGGACCAATCTTCAACGTCACCAACCCAAATACAGCACCGCAACCATGACAGACAGCATCGAGCAGATCCTGCAGGCCGCGGCCGACAAGTTCCGGGGCCCCGGCGGCTGCCTGGCCGTGGTCCGCGACGGCCAGCTGGCGGGCCAGCACGTCTGGGGCTTTGCCCAGATGGACGACGCCGTGCCCATGACGGCCGAGACCCTCGTGCCCATCTGCAGCATCACGAAACACCTCACCTGCGGCACCCTCTACCGGGCCGAGCAGGACGACGCCTCCGTCCGCCCCAAGATGCAGGCTCTCCTCGACTCCTGGCTCGGCCCGGACCTGCAGGCCCCCCAGGCAGACGACAAGACCCGGCTCACCATCGCGCACCTGTGCGACAA